ATGCGCTCTGTGGAGTGACGCTGTTGGAAGAAGAATTTCGAGGTCCACAACTCATAGAGAGGCCCACAAACTGGGATTTAGCACTTGCAAGGTAAGTTTTCTTATAAAAAAAGTGAAGTAAAAACCCTAAAGTTGCACAACTTGTTTGTAGGCCAAAGAAAAGCCACTATTAATTCCACTGCAAAAGAAAAATCGGCTTAGATGGGCCAAAGAACCTAGACAATGGACACCTCAACAATGGTGTGCCATACAATGGAATGATGAGGCCCGATTCGAAGTTTGTGTTGGTGACAGTCGCAGTAGAGTTATTCGCAAAAAAAATGAAGCATTCCATGTTGACTGTCTGAAAAGGAAAGTGAAATTTCCAGCATCCATTATGGTCTGGGGCAGTATGTCATCAAAAGGAGTAGGAAAACTTCATTTTATTGATGGAAATGTGGATACAAACCAATATTTGGCAATTTTAGAAGAATCGCTTTTACCAGTGATGATGTTTGACATCCGGCCATCTAGATGCAAAAAAACAACATCAGAAGATTGTCAGAAAAACAAAAAAGGCATATTATCAACAAAAAATATCCAATTTGCACAACGTGATGAAGGCTGCCTGGAATGTGGTTTCTGACATAAACGGAAGAAATAGAGTACCAAAGAACACTGTACTGCTTGATAATGGATTAACCATTAGAAATCCACAAGAAATTTCTAATTATTTTAACTACTATTTTAAACAGGCTCCTTTGGATATTATTCAAAAAATATCTAAGGATACAAATCCAGTTCCAAGTGATCATACCTGCGACCAAAAATCTTTTATGTTTTTATACCCGTTCTTGGAGGAAGAATTCTATAAACTAATTAATGATAAGTTAAAAAACAAGCGTTCTTCAGGCACCGATGAAGTTCCGAATTTCTTAGTCAAGAAAATATTATTGTACATAACCAAACCTTTTGTTTTTCTAGTTAATTTATCATTCTGCACTGGTGTATTTCCAAACAACCTGAAAACAGGAAAAGTAACTCCAATTCTTAAGAAAGGAGATACTTCTTTGGTTAGCAATTACAGACCGGTGACTGTTCCATGCTGTTTTTCCAAGATTCTTGAGTATTGTTTTTTAGATCGACTTCTGCTGTTCTTGGAAAGCAATGACACTCTATCATCCAATCAACATGGTTTCCGTATTGGAAAATGAACCATGACCGCATGTCATTCATTTATCAACAGGTTAGTCTACTGTATTGAGGCAGGAGAATGCCCGGTTGGGATATTTTGTGACCTCAGTAGGGCGTTCGACTGTGTCAGTCATGATATACTATTAGCCAAACTAACAGACTATGGAATTGGTGGTTCAGCCTACCTAAAATCGTACTTGCAGAATAGGTCACAATTCGTGGCAATAACACACAACAACGCTGGTCAACTGAAGCAGGTCAAATCGGGTGTGGTTAACATAAATATAGGCGTACCACAAGGATCTATATTGGGGCCAGTGCTGTTTTCCCTTTATATAAATAACCTGGAGCAATGTTTCCCTGAAGCACATTTCACGTTGTATGCAGACGATGCCTCCATCATTATATCAAATAAAGACGAGGCTGATTTAATAAATAAATGTGACACCTTAGTGTACAACATCAATAGCTGGTTTGAAGAAAATCAGTTACTTCTTAATAGCGAGAAGACCACAGTTATAAGGTTCCATAACATTCAAAAGTCGATACCAGCGATTCAGCTTGTTCTGAACGGTTCAGCACTGCAGAGTGATAAAAGCACAAAGTTTTTAGGGCTCCACTTAGACCAATGTCTCAACTTTAAAGGACATTGCGATTATCTATCATCAAAAATAAATTCACAAGCATATTTATTCAAGAACCTGAGATCTGTTTTCACAGAGAATCAGCTATTGATGTTGTATTATGGTCAGGTCGAGTCTCGCATGCTGTATGCTTTGTGCTTCTGGGGCTCATCGGTGAACGCTTCTAAGGTGTTCCTAAGTCAAAAACGGCTGGTGAGGTGTATGGTGGGAGTAAGCAGCACTTATAGTTGCAGAGAATTATTCAAGAGATTAAAAATAATGACACTGCCTTCGCTTTTTCTCTACAATATATATATAGAGTCACAAATGGTGTTGCGACCTTTTCGTTGGGCCACCCGGTACGTTTACCGGTTTCTATAAGCTCCTCATAGCATCTGCGGTGCCCTGGCATTAGGGCTTCTGCCGCGACTGCTTCGGTCTAACAAAACAATGCTTTCTTACTTTATTTATCAATCTGCATCACATACGGGCCTCAGAACACTAGCAATGACCTTGAATGCGTAAAGAAAATGTAGAAGTGACATGGAAATAATTTGCCTTCTATAGGGTAAGATTTGTTATTCCACACCCAGTTGTGATACCTGCTACCATTTTCAGACAGCAGTTAGATGACTTGAATCGGATTAGGGAAGCCCTGATTTAGGGTAGGTTTTATTATATCTATATTATTATACCTCTCTCTATCTAATTATCTGAAGAATATAAATACTCAAGAGACTCGTCTAAATCCATCACTTGTCTGATCGACATCACGGCACCACAACGACTCAATAATTCAACAATGTGTGAAGCGACAAAACGATTGACCGCAAAAGAAGTCGACAAAATGGACATACCAAGTCATCTCCAGAAGCTAGTCGTTGCAGAACGAAGGCTGATGGAAGAATTGGAGCAGACTGAGGACAAAATATGGAAAATATCCCTGGACATAGCCGTAAAGGAAGTAAAGGCTTCCGTGGCAGAGGAACTGGCGGGTATAAAGGAAGGTACGATTCCTTCACGAAAACTACAAAACAGAATCGCCCGCTTGATTCGCATGAGTACGAAATGTAAGATGCTGTATAGGACCGAGGGGAAAGAAAGTTATATGGTGATGTACTGTGGAATGAAGGAAGCACTCAAGATAGTCTTACCGTATTTTAAATCTAAAACTATAAAGGAATTTGATTAGTTTTTGCTCGTACTTTGTATTTCTATTTTTGTATTGTGTCTGCTATCTATTTAACCGGAACTTTATTTTGTTTTTTAATTATTATACTCTCGCCATTTAATGTGCAATTTATTTTGAAATTCCACCCCAAATCAAGTCAACCCTTTCGTTTTGTACATCTGTAACCTTGCCCCTTATTTCTTATCGTTCCCGAGGGCCCAAATAGCCAGGGTCAAATTTGAAACACTTTATATAGAGAGCACGTGAAATAAAATAATGTACTATATAACAATTTGTGTGTATTTTTACCGGGTGGCTAATATACAGGGTGTTTCAGAACTAAGTGATCTACTATAACAGTAGAAAACATTTGAGTATAGGGACCCCTAGCCGGAAAAGTGTTACTACGGTACTACGGCTCTGAGACGCGTTAAAATTCAAAAAGACGATGAATTGCTTAAATAGGATTTAATGCATTTAGGCCCAATCTCACCAACAACAGTCCGTTATTCTCCACCTAGATACAGATACAGCGAATGAGCTTCAAGTTCCAATCAACAAATTTTAGCAACCAATAGCTATGAAATGTTGAAAACGAAATACTGTCAAAGTATGAGATGACAACTTGTCATTGAAACATCATCAGCTTATTGAGTCTTAAGAAATTACATATAATTCAGTCAAAATTTAAACAGCTGTTTGATTTTTGAATAAAATTCATGATTTAATTACTATTTTTGATCTTTTATTCATTTTTATATCATTTTCTTCAATTGATATGCGATTTTACTGATTCAAGATCATCTACTGGGTGTCTTTCCCTATAAACCTCTTGCAGATAGCCATTGAGCACCTACTTGATGACTGGCTCTACCAAAAAGTTCATAGACATTGCTCGTTTCCAAACATTCATTCTTTTACTTGCCGTTCATAAGAACCATTATGGCACCTTAGATTGATATTCCCACAAAACCATTCCGGTTTTTTAATATCCATACATCCATAACGTTGAATATTTTTAGTTGTTCAGGAACTTAATAAACATCCACACTATATTCACAGCGATTAAGAAATACCCAAATATATGTCGTAGAGCTACCAGCAAACCTAAAACCTGCAGAAAAACTAGAAATTTGCAATATTTTTCTTTTTTCACTGAGTAGATATTCTGGGTTATATTTATATTAGACGTTATTTGTATCACAAAACATATACACTGATTTGAATAAGAGCTGATTATCTCCTGATATTTTAAAACTAACCATATCGACAAGTGACGCATAATTCTGTGGGATCCGTCAACACTTCGTCCCAGTGGAGCAAACTCTGCCAACTGTCGAAATAAACTTTTTTATTCCAAGACTTATTTTGGTTTTACTGTGCCTGCTTAGATATTCAAATACGGCCAGGAATTATTAGCGCCTGGCTATTTTAGTCCTTCAATAACTCCTTATTTTAGATCTACCCTTATTTTGCTTTTTCCACGCATTCATGGTAGAAAGAAAAATATTTTATCGAATATCGATACCGCATACCGTGCAGCAGGCACGTCCATCACTAGTTTGACAGATTGCAGAATGATGTCAAGGTGACAATCGTTATGTTTTTTTTTTTTTTTTTTAGTGGTCCTAGGGGGACCGGGAGGTGGAATCCATTCTACGGACCCCATACGCCGTGGTTCCAGCGCGCATGGGAGTGTGGGACTCCAGCTACATTCTAGTAGACTGACTACCCACTAAACCACCTCCTCTGGCTCGCGACTACATCCGGTAGCACCACTTGTTGCGGCATGTCTTCAGATGCATTCGCAGCGGATATGCTCGTTTCTTCTGCTAGTGCAAGATGTCGTCCCTGCACTTTGCGTTCATCACATTACGAACGAACCTCTGTATTATGTTCCAGTTCTCCTTACTTTTCATCATGAGTATGGTGATGCTTCTGCTATTGACCTCCCCACCGATAACTGACTCTGTATTGCTCCTCCATGCGGCCCATCTTTGACACACAAAGATTGTGTGCTCCGGGAAGTCCTCCTATCCGCAATAACCGCAGATGCTGCCCTCCGTGATTCCCATTTTTTTGGTGTAATCCCCAAAGTATCCATGGCCCGATAGAAACTGGGTCAAGTAGAAGTCTAGCCTTCGATGTTTACAGCTAACCCACTGTCTTACGTCCGGGATCAGAGTCTTGCTCCACATTGCCGTCTCTGAGTGGTCGCTCCACACACGCTGCCATTTCTCCAAAGTTGTGCTTCTTTCCAGCAACCTGGTAGTACGAAGCTTAGTATCATCCCTGCTGTACAGGCGGAGCCTTTCCTCTATGAGCAGAGTGACTGGGGGTATTCCAGCTATTACTTGAGCGGCCATAGTGGACATTGTTCTGTAGCCGCTCGATATCCGCAGCAAAGCCTTCCTCTGGATACTCAAGAGCATTTGTCTATATCTCTGGACTTGGACCACACGGTGCCATACAGGAGCTGCGTACTACAGGACCACGGAGTGGATTACCTCGCAAAGGACCGTCCTTTTAGGGCTACTTGGACCTCCTATATTTGGTAGTATTCTTGATAGCTGGGCCATCCTAGCAACTACCTTCCTGATGACTTGACGAACGTGCTCTCCAAACTTTGAGTTGCCATCTAACACGACTCCCAGGTACGTGAGGTGTCTCTTTGTCACTATCTTCGTCCCAAGGAATTGCAAATTCACCGAGCTCTTCTTGCGGGATCCCTTCAGTATCACGGCTTCCGTCTTCTGTGGGGCAAGTCGCAACTTGTTTGCTGCCATCCACTCGCTGATTCTTGCCAACGCTTCGTTCGTGATGATTTCCAGCTCATTGGAATAGTTCGCCTTCGCTATGATCGCCAGATCGTCAGCGTACGCAATGCATTTTATTCCCTGTGGAAATGCAAGACCCAGAACTCCATCATAAAGCACATTCCACGGAAGAGGCCCAAGGACTGAGCCTTGAGGAACTCCCGCGCAGATGTCCCTCGTTTCTCTCTTCGTTAGGAGAAGCTTTCTGTCCTGGTAGTGGCTATCCACCAAGTTTATCAGGTATGCTAAAATTTCCCTACGTCGGGGTTCCTTAATAATTAGGCTCCAAGTAGCCGAGTTAAAGGTATTTTCTACGTCAACAGTGATCAGTGCGCACCACTTGCTTTCCGTCTTCGATACATTATCCGCGACTGCTTCAATTGCCTGGACGGTTGATCTGCCCTCCCTAAATCCATACTGCTCGTTTGACAGGTCAACTTTCGATTTGAGCTCCTGTTCGATTCCAGGTTTAATTAGTCTTTCGAAGAACTTTCCCACTACCCTCAGCATACAGATAGGTCTGTGAGAGGAAGGTAGTTCCACGGGTTTTCTCTTCCATATAAGAGTCACTGAGGCAATCTTCCAGATCTTGGGGAAGTCTTGTGAACTCAGTAGCTGGTTCAGCACGCCTAGTATCGTCTCCGGCAATACCTCCAACGCTATCTTCAGTGCCTCCGGTGGTATACCGTCAGGTCCAGGAGCCTTTCCAATCTTGATTTCCAATGCTGCCTCTTGTATCTCCTCCAGGGTAAAGGGTGCAATACCTTCGGCGGTTTTCTGTCCCTTCAGCCAGGTATCGGTTGACTTGGAGAAGAGGTGATCGATTATTTCTGCTTTTTTCGCTGCGGATAGATCGAAAGGGAGAGTATAACCCTTTATTTGATTTATAACAATATGGTAAGCAGAGCCCCAAACGTTGTCCTCAAGTTCTTCACACAGCTTCTTCCAATGACCCCTCTTTGATGCAGCAATTCGTTTTTTTTAGCTCCTTCCACGCCATTTTGTACAACTCATTTACGCCTCTCCATTCACTCTCGCTCATACTTAGCCTAGCTCGTCCTCTGGTGACTTTTCTCTTGTATTCAAGACATGTTCTTCTCTGCTGCTCGATTTTCACTGTCCACCAGTAGGGTATTCTCCTTCTTTCCCTCTTAATCCAGATAGTGACAATCGTTATGTGGCGGTTGTAATGATAATAATCAAATTACTACTAAACACCTAAATAGCTTTCTGGCCTTTCAATTTCGAAGCTACCAGTCCTCGCTTAGAGATGGTAGCACAGTTAAGGATAGACTCGGGGTTTATACGGTTACGGATGTTTATGATTCCTCTCGATATCGATATATCGTCATGAAACGATCGATGCGTAAAGATCGATGTTCTACGTCCGATGTATCGATGTTTTCGATACATCAATGTATCGTCTATCGTCGCCATCCCTATATTGTATCCCCACCAGTCACCAGTCAAAAACCTTAACCACCAATATTTTATCACTATTTATAATTCTTTTTAGCTCTTATTTTTCAGTAATTGCTAATAATGTCTATGTCTACAGTAGTTGCATTATACACCTCGGAGATGTAGGGATTAACATGTTTTACACATATCGGTGTTTTAGGATGGGGACGACCGTACTGTTTTGATTGCTTTGAAGAAATTCATTAACCCATGAATTTATATATTATGATGTAAAGAGAGATGAGGAATTGGTTGGAATACATTTTATATTCTATTTTCTTGCAAATCCGCACAATTAAACAGGTATGTGTAGCTATAATGATCACATATACACACAGTATATTGAACTTAACAAATTTCGAGATTGCCATGAATTAACAAACGACCAAACCTGCTGCCAAATTTAACAGCTAGAAAATCGACCTATTATTTCTCCCATTCCCATTCGCTGAGGGGATAACGGATGGTCAAATGTACACCTATAGCTTAAATCAAAATACACGAAACTTGTCCTGTTTTCTCTGTACAAAAGCATCATGTTGGAAGCAAAAAGTGGTCTTGTTTATAATACAGTCGAATATTCACTATATTAGTGGTCCATAATATTAATGTTGGTGAAATCGGCACCTAGATTACTTTCTTTGGGGGCTATTGAAAAGTAATCTTTTGGTAGTAAATCAGATTCCATTCAAGATCTTCGGATTACGGCTAAATGTAGACAAATACCTCAAGACATGCTTGAAAATGTAAGGAATAGATTCGAACAAAATCTTTATTATTGCTTGGAGGCAAGTGGACACCACTTTCAGCGCTTATTACCACATTGAGCTACCTCTTTAAATTTAACTTTGTGTGTATAAGTTGTAACTTGTTTTTCGTTTTCCTTTTAAATATCCGGAGACTTGTTTTTTATTTTAAATTCTTGATACTATATCGATTATTATTTTTACGATATAATAACTTATTATCACAATTTCCGAAATTTTATTGTAAATTCGAGTAGCTTGGTATGCAAAAGTTACTAAACACTTCAAGGAGAATCTAAAAACTAAAAAAAAAAAAATAGGAGTTTCCATATAAAAAAAAAACTTACAGTTGATTTTCAATAAATCATTTCATTAAATATTAAATAAAATGGACGCAAGGTTGTACTTTGTGGAACACCACATGTTACAAACATTTATTTTCTGTACGATTTCGATATTCTAACAGATTGAGATCTATTATTAAAGTAAAATTTCAAAACAGGAATGATAGCTCATATTAAGCAAATGATTATGATACATTGAAGGTCAGATGTGGATCAGAAAAAGGCGACAGGATGCCTTAGACCATAGTTCCCCAAACTTTTTTGTGTCGTCGACCCCTTGCCATGTTTTTCCATGTTGGGTAGACCCCCTACTTACCTGATATTGATTTCCTGTAAATTTCTAACTGTAGTGAAGTTTAGTGTTAAAAACACATGTTAATTTATACATTTAATAATTGAATTTAAATTAAAACTACTCAAAATAAAATTTTGTATCTGTTATGTAAAATATACGTAACATTAAATAAACAGGTGTCTGACCAGTAAGTGCCCGCATTGGGAATAAGTGCCCGCATTGAAAAAAAATAAGAGGGATAAAATAAAAAAGTAAAAAATAATAAAGAAAAAAGTTTTTTACTTAAAATAGTACAATAAGCGAGTTCGTTTATTAATTATAACATAAACGTATATTCTACAATAATTTCACTGTTAGTTTGATTAAATTCCGCTTCTTATACGTTTAAGTTATCTAAAAATAGGCAAAAAATTAACGAATTTTAGTGTGTACCTATCCTTGAATTTTCAGAATAATTTAAAAAAAATATTTTCTATGAAGTGGGGTTCTTTAAAAAAATCAATGCGGGCACTTATTCCCAATGCGGGCATTTATTGGTCAGACACCAATAAACATAAAATAAACTATAAATAAAATAACATAAGCAATAAGTCAATATTTTTAGTGAGAAGGATGAACCTGATGCTATAATAATAAATTATCAACATTTGGCGTCAATTTTGAAAGGGTTAATCTTAAATCTCCTCGGCTAATGATGTCCAGTGTGTTTCTTTTTTTCGTTAGGAGATAGGTAACAGCGCTGAACCCCCTTTCCACTAGGTATGACGATGGAAAGGAAAATAAAAATTTCCTCGCTATATTCCACAATACGGGATAAGTAACGGGTATGTTGTTTTGCAGCCAGAATTGCTGATATCCGTTTATAAACTGAACCTTAAGTTCTTCGTTTGTACTTAGTTAAGTCAGTTCCTCTTGTATTATGACATTCGTTTCTTCTATGTCACCATATGGATTAATTATCCACGGTGGTATTACCATAGTCAAAATATCCTCAAACCTAGATTCAAAATCTGAATAGAGGGCATTTAAATGTTGAACGTAAGTTGAAACGTCGTCTTCCTGGCAGCTTGTCTGTGACAAATTGGGGAACTGAGAAAATTCGCCCCGTCCAATATTTTGCTTCATTAGTTTAACTCTGACAAGAAACGCTGATAAGATGTACTTTGTTTTAATCAAATTTAAACTGTCGCCTTGTAATTGCAAATTAACCATATTAAATTTTGTAAACAAATCTGTTAAATAGGCGATGTCTGTTTTCCTCTTCATTAAATTTTCCTTTAAAATTTTATCTTTAGTATCCAGAAATTCTAAAATAGTCTCAAAAAGTGCAAAAAATCTTGTCAAATATAAGCCTTTCGACAGCCAGCGTACTTCAGTGTGAAGGAGTAATTGATGAAAGTGTTCGTCATTTTCTTCACACAACTGCGCAAATAACCGCGTATTCAACGCGTTGCTTCGGATTCGGTTTACTGCATCAATGACTAAATGAAGTGATTCATGCAATCTAACACTCAAATTTTTAGCACCTAAATGTTGTCGATGGTTGACGCAATGTATTGCTAACACCCCTGACACATTTTGTTTTAAATAGCTTATAAATCAACGATAACGTCCAACCATGGAATGTGCTCCATCTGTAGCTACTGATATTATATTTGATAAAGGAATTGCTTTTTCAATGAAGTAATCCTTCAAAACATGAAATATTGATTCACCTTTAGTGTCGGTTATCAAAGTTCTTGCGAAGAGCAGTTCTTCGTAGATTTCTTGATTCATAATAAAACGAACATATGCCAATAATAACGCTGCATTATCAGGTAAAGTTGACTCATCCAGTTGTATAGAGAAATGGGTCGTTTGCAAATAATTACATAAGAAGCTTTCAATATCAGAACTCATTTCATCAATACGTCTTTCAACAGTATTGTTGCTTAAGGGAATTCTTTTAACGATATCAGATGCAGGTTTGTGTAAAACAGTTTTTAAAACCTCTTCAACGGCTGGCAAAATTAACTTCTCTCCGATAGTATGCGGTTTTCCGGATTTTGCTATAAGTAACGTGATATTGTAAGACGCCCGCAAACCATCATCATTTCTTTGGGACGTCGAAGCGAACATTCTGTCCAGTGTAGGTCTCTTCTGAAATTTATCTTTGAGTGTTTGAAAGTATTTCAAAACTTTCTCTGTTTTATCAGGGTGGCATCTTCTCAGATGATCTTGCAGTTTAGATGGTTTCATAGCGTCATTGCCCAAAACTTTGTTGCATAAAAGGCACATAGGCGATTGTTTGTCCGGCAATCATGGAAAATTTCAAATAACCAACACTGTACTGTCTACATTTCTTTTTACATTCGGACATGGCATCAGTCATCTGTGGGCAAAATTAAATTATTTAAATAAGACAGAAAATCCAGCAGCTGTATATTAAAAATATTTTCTGATTTTTCCGAAAACATTCCATAATTCGAACATCTTCTTGCAACAATTAGCTCGAATTACGGAGATTGCACTGTAATTATATTACCGATTGCTAAAACTTTCAAAAAGAAACTATTGAGGAGTACTCGTGTAATTTTGCATGATTGAATATTTAACTACTAATAACTAAAGTCATGATTGGCGTAATTTATCTATCTTTGCTAACTACGAGTACAAAATTAAAATTTAATAAAAAATAATGTACTTACTTTTCTCCAGTACTCTCAAACAAAATAACACTGACTCACTATAATTTGTGTAATATACTATCTGTTTATTTTTTTTTAAAATATTTTCTCAGCACTTTCCATTTCAAGATTCAGGAAACGAATAAACGTATTTGTCCCACATGCGTATTTATAGAGTGACGAATTGGACAAGTCAGTGCAAGGTAGCGAAACTGTGAGACTGCGACTCTCATGTTTTTACAAGTTCAAAATGTATTGCGACCACAAAGCGAATATCAACATCCTACAACTTACACAATTTTATAAACATATATAATAAATTTTTTACGTCATAGGTACTTTTATAAATAATGTATATGTTTTGATATTATGAGATAGTATGATGTAAGTAAATAGGTACTATCAGTGTATGTGTTGAGATCCACTATCGTGGACCCCCATATTCATTTCGTGGACCCCCAAATTTTTTTTCGCTGACGTAGACCCCTTGCAGGTTGTCATAGACCCCTAGGGGTCGATATAGACCACTTTGGGAATCAATGCCTTAGACGAACACGGTATACTTTTGGATCTAGGGAGCTATTAAAGTTGCGGCGTTGGTTGAACGAATCTACAGATTAAAGCTAGAATTATCTTGACTTGTAACTGGTTGACCAGCCGCCATACTGAAACTTTTAATTGTCGCCTTTGAGCTGGAGTACAGTGTTGATGCTTCACTCTTATCACCCCGCATCCCGGCTTGCTAGGTTGATACTTTCAGAAATGAATGGGAGATCTTTTTGAAATGCACTGCAGACATACACAAGATGGACGCGATATTTTCTATGTCAGTGGGTGTCATACTTCTAGTATAATTTAGTGAGGTTACTCGATTTTGGATGGATAATATTCACGGTCAGCTGTCAAAAATTATTGACTAACAATAAATGAGGATCATGAAATATCACCTGTTGAAATGTGAGAAACCTTTTTTTTGTTCAATTCTAATTGGTGCGTTAATGTTCCAAACGCCAAAGTACGTATCAAGTGCTATTACAGTCAGCTTCAAAGACTGAAGACAGTTTTACGCCTCAACTCGAAATAAGGCAAACATGTACGGCTCACACTCATTACCGTAATCTGGGGGATAGTTTTTTAATGAGAAGTCCAACCAGCTCCTTAACATTGCTGGTTTTTGAACCGAAACAATGATACAAGAGCTAAAGCTCTCCGAACCGCACGGGTATCACGTATCTTGAAAAGTGACATTATGCCGATTTTTTTTACATCATGCTGTTTTTTTTTGACATTATGTAGTTTATTCTACAAGTTCTTAACTTAGCACTTAGTTGTACGTGTTGCCTGAACGTCATGAGGCTTGTTATCAATCTTTAGCTCTGATGTGATGTAAAATCTGCTTCTGAGATGGCATTACTGGAGGTTTAAAGCTGTAAGTTGTATGTGTTGATGATAATCACATTGGGTTCTTGTCTCAAATACACTTAATTGAGATTCAAAGCTAGAAATTAGTTGCGCATCCACTTTTTCTTATCCATTCTGGAAATTACATATACAAATTTGATGAATTTAAAAAATGAAAGAGATAAGAAATAATTATATTCACTGTACACTGTCGAATTACAAGCCATATACATGCTTACAGTAACTACACTCAAGGCGGGCTCGGTGACGATTTTCCGTCGTTCTCCTCAGTTTTTCGTAATTTATACCTTTGAACGTAACCTCTCTTCAGAAAGCACAACATATAAATAACTCGCCACATTCGGCATATTCAGTAATGATTTTCTCACACAGCAAATATCACTGATTTTATAGACATGCAGACCAATACACATAATCATCCAGATGCGATCTTGCTATTCAACCAACTTTCTTCTCACTCAGCCTCACAAAACTATGCAACCAATAATGCGTAATTTAGTTGAATGATTGGTCCATAGATGGACGTTCACAACGATTCTAGTGAGCAAACGTGGAATGACTGTTTGCGTCCTAAAAACCACCTGGTCTGCAAGTTGACATCTTATAGGTTTTTTTACGTTTTATAGGTTCTTTACATGATACCCGTGCCGTTAATGGTTTCACTGGTCAACACTGGTTTTGCCAGTCAGCACTATTCGGATCACGTCTAAAAGAATAGAATTTGCTACATCATAAGACAAAAGTTAGCTATTTTCGAAACCGTGATCAACACTTCAGAACGTATTTTTCTCAGGATGGAGATTTGGTGTTTTGCAATAACATAAATGAGATTATGAAAATGTTGGACATAGATTTTGATCTCTCTCAGTGGCGTTTATTCATTGATTCTTCGAAAGCAAGTCTAAAAGCAGTGTTATTGCATAATGGAAATAAGCTTCCGTCTGTACCTCTGGCCCATGCTGCAAATATGAAAGAAACCTATGAAGATATGAAACTTTTACTTGAAAACATAAATTACAGTACATATTCCTTCAAAATCTGCGGTGATCTTAAAGTTGTTAAACTATTACTTGGACTTCAGCTGGGTTATACAAAGTTTTGCTGCTTTTTATGTGAATGGGATAGCCGAGACAGAACTAATCACTATATAAAAAAAACATGGCCTACGCGTGCATCGTTAGTTCCTGGGCAAAAAAACGTAAAGTATTTACCACTTGTACAGCCAAATAATGTGCTTCTACCACCATTGCATATCAAATTAGGATTAATAAAAAATTTTGTGAAGGCAATGGATCGCAATGGGAGTGGATTTTTGTATCTAAAAGAAAGATTCCCTAAAATAAGTGATGCAAAGATAAAAGAGGGTATTTTTATTGGCCCTCAAATTAGGGAGTTAATAAAAGATTCAAGATTTGAAGAAAAATTAAGCGATTTAGAAACATCTGCATGGAAGGCTTTTAAAAATGTTGTTTCAAATTTTTTGGGTAACCACAAGAGTGACAGCTACAGAGAGTTGGTTATTAGCGAGCTATTATTGTCATATCAAGCATTGGGTTGCAACATGTCACTTAAGATCCATTTTTTAGACTCGCACCTGGATTTTTTTCCTGACAATTTAGGGGCTGTCGGCGACGAGCACGGTGAGAGGTTCCATCAGGACATTTCTAATATGGAAAAGCGGTACCAGGGCAAATGGAGCCCAAATATGTTAGCAGATTACTGCTGGACAATTAAAAGGGACCAACCAGAAGCTAAATATTCGAGAAAATCTTAGATTATTAAGTCATTTATAAAAAAAATAACTTTTGATTTACGAGATCTGTGTTTTTTCTTAATATTTTAAATTACTCAATAGAATAAAATCCTTGCCTAGCAAATTTTTTTAACTGTTTATTTTTTCTTACAATCACCAATTAAAGTAAAAAATATCAAAAAAGTCCGTGTGGCACGACAAAGTTAAAATTTTGTTGATTTTAGTACACCTACCTCTTTTTACCCAGCTGCCTAAGACTGTTGTGCTGTTTCAGGAATTGTTTGGATTCAGACGGATAAATACACAATAAAGGCTATAATTTAACGTATTTATTTACATTAAATACACAGGTACATTAAAAAATACGTGTTTGTTGCCCTGGCGTATTCGTCGAAAGCTTAGTGCAGCTGCTATCATTTCGTTACATTTTAAACACGAATAGCAGAAACAACAAAAAACACAAACTAACAGAAAATATTTCCTCAAACTCTGGAACACAGTGGTAAAGAATTTAAAAACATACAGAATCACATTTCATTGTCTCCAATCACTAAATACAAGGTCTTGGTCTCAAAATATACTAAGTGACATATAAATCCGAACACCCAGTTTAAATGGTTTTATTTTAATAAAATTTTGTATAAGTACTTAATGAAGCATAATAAGTAAATGATAAAAATTTCAAAATGATTGCACTGCTTTAAAGCCCTTTGACCTTTGATAATGTGTGGATGCACCCTGATGTGCTACGCATTCTCCAACGCGCCTAGGCATGCTTCTGATCAGGTGGTCAATGTCCTCCTGTGGTATCTCATTCCAGGCAACCACCAACTCCTCTCGAAGTGCTTCCAGAGTCTAAGGAGGACGTTGCAAATTGAGCAATCTCCTACCCATCATATCCCACACGTGCTCAATTGGGGATAAGTCGGGAGATCTTGGTGGCCATGGTAACAATGTGACATCATTATGTTGAAAGAAGTCTATTGTGACTCTTGCAACATGTGGTCGGGCATTATCTTGTTGGAAAGTTGGATCTGCCAGGGTGTCAAGACAGGGTAAAAGATGGGGTTCTAGAACTTCGTGGATATAACGCTGCGCGCATGTCTTTCAACAAAAAACTGTGGATTCCTCCTTTCACCACGTCACCTTCTAACCCTGGCACGACCATCGTGCATGCCTAAACAAAATCGAGACTCGTCTCTAAAGAAAATACTGTTCCATTCCTGATCCCAGAGTGACCGTTGTCTGCACCACTCAAGGCGATTACGTCGGTGTTCTCGAGTTAAAGGGAGCACCCAGTGTGGCCGGTATGAAAACAAGCCAAAACTTCTCATTCGTCAGTAAACACTTCGCATGCCAATAGGTCTTCCGTGTTCTGCAAACCATTCATTTGCAATGGATCTGGTAGTGGAGAAACGGTCCCTTAAGGCCAATAA